GTGTATGGGGGGAAGGGGGAAATCACACGTGTTTTTCCAGGTACGCAATCTTGCCCTGTGCCCCAAAGCACACGTTTTTGGGTGCTATGCCAGCAAAGGTGCTTTTCCCTGGTCCGCAATCTTAGATGAGTCACATGACTCATGTGGGATTTCTGGATCTGGGCCATGTTGCGCTGGAGAGTATGAGGTCCAGTAGATCCAGAAGGTGGCAACACGAGAATGGACTTTTCTGCAGTGGCTCCCCATTTGTGGGATGGGGATGCTCTCCTGACACCTTCCTTATATATCTTTAGGTTCCTCAACCAGGCCTTTGGCTGACTGGCATCCTATATCCTTTTAAATGGGGGGGGCGTTACCGGTTTGCTTTGTTCTTCTTCTTGTTTTTATTTTGTATGTTGTGTTTCTATCTTGTATTTTTATGCTATGAACTGCCCTGAGATCTACGGATGGAGGGTGGTCATTTTATTTTATAAAATAAATAAAATAAAGACATGATGTTAGAGGGCCAGTGGAACACCCTCCCACCAGATATCAAGGAGATAAATAACTATACAACTTTTAGGAGACATCTGAAAGCAGCCCTGTATCAAGAAGTTTCAAATGTTTGATGTTTTATTTTGTTTTTATGTGTTCGAAGCCGCCCAGAGTGGCTGGGGCAACACAGCCAGATGGGCGGAGTAGAAATCATCTTATTATTCTTCTTCTTCTTATTGTCCTCCTCCTCCTCCTCCTCCTCCTCTCCCAGTAACTGGTTTTTTCAGCTATGTCTTTAGGAATGATTTTGGATGATGATCTTAGCTGCTTTGGGTTTTGTTTTCAAGACGAAAGTGGAGTAAAAGTAAACTAAATGAATGAAACCCATGTGATAGACCTAGTGCTGGACTAGCTCACTAAGTCGCCATGCTACTTAAAAAAAAAAATTAATTAAATTTTCAGTTTACTATTTCAACATAAACATTTTACATAATACCATATAATCAATGACTTTCCTCCTTCCCCTTCCATGGTTCATTTTATTTATCTACTATACCTGCATATTTTGCAAGAACCATTATAGTCACTTCTCCAATTGTAAAACACTCAAATATTAATAAAACTGTTGAATTTATCTTAATGCTGCCAGCATTTTCAACTGTGTACAGTTACATAGACTCAACCAAAGGTTTCCGCTCCTCTTTAAATACGTGTTCTTCTTGCTCTCTTGTTCTGTACGTTAAACCTGCTAGTTCTGCATATTCTGTCATCTTCAGTTGCATTTTCATTTTTTAAAGAAGTCATGCAAACATGCTATGGGTTTCGATCCACACTCTGTACACACTGGACATTCAAAGTGCATTGCTTCCCCCCAAAAAATGCTGGGATCTGTGGTTTACCCCTTACAGAGCACTCTTAACAAATGACAGTTCCAAGGAATATTTGGGAAGACTCATATGCCTTACGTGTATGGCATGTACTGCCTGGGATCATCATCATCATCATCATCATCATAAATAATTTAGTTATATCCCACCCTCCCCAGCTGAAGCCGGGCTCAGAGCAGCTAACAACCATAAAATGATACAACATTCTAAAATCATTTCATTATAAAATCAGTTCAAATCAGATTAATGGCAACCATTGGGCTAGAGTTCTGTGAGGATTGCTAAAGGAGGGGGTCAGGCTGTGCCCTGGCCAAAGGCCTGGTGGAACAGCTCCGTCTTGCAGGCCCTGCGGAAAGATGTCAAGTCCCGTAGGGCCCTAATCTCTTGTGACAGAGCGTTCCACCAGATTGGGGCCATGGCCAAAAACGCCCTGGCTCTGGTTGAGCCCAACCTAACCTCTCTGTGGCCTGGGACCTCCAAGATGTTTTTGTTTGAAGACTGTAAGGTGAGGACCTTGGGGCAGGGAATGGGTAGAAATTAGGACGCTAAAAGGGAAGCTGATGGTCACTGATGAAAGGAGGAGCATTCTTATGAATGGCTCCAGACAACCAGCCCTGTCATCCTGTAACTGTCCAGGAGGGATAACAGGTTGGCCTAGCCATTGCAAGCCATGATCTGTCCTCTGGAAGGAGACATCGTCTCTCTCACACCCCCAGACAATTTGCGAATCCTGAAACGTCAGCAAGGTCTAATCCCAGACAGGAAGAGTCATCTGTGGACCTTCAGAAGCCTGTGTGGGAGATACAACGTTAATCACTGGGGTGTCGGGAGAAGATGGGGCAGGACAGCTCTGACTCACACTCTGATGTGGCTCATCAAAGACCTGAGGATTCTCCATACATTGGGTCAGCTAGAAATTCACAGCCTGGACAAGGGGCAGGCAAGGAGGACTGGATGGCCAGCATTACTTCTCAGCTGTTAGAGCTCCAAAAACTTCTGCTTTCCTGGCAGAACAAGAACAGGGCTGACATGCAAGCACTTCTCCTCCAGTGATACCTGTTGAGCTGCACCTGCTCTTGCCACCAGCAAATGCTTCTGCTTTATTGCACTTTATGGGCTTGATCTAATTTTCTGCTGAAGTCAGCCTATCCTCTTCCAACTCCGTGTCTGTGCCAAGGCTCGTAAAGGTGTTTTGGGGGTTTTTTGGCTGATGGTAAGTATCAATTACATTCAAATTAGTGACTGGTTTCAGACCAAGTATTGTTTGATTGGCATCTGGTGCAGAAAGGTGCGAAGAATTAAAGCACTGTACACACTTCGCAACCCACAGAAGGACACAAGCGTGAATAGGAGATCGTAATAAACTAGAGAAGGTGGTAATATGGGGTAGGTCAGGCTGAGAAAGAGGGACTGGGACATGGCTTCCCAGGATTTGAACCACGGGTCCTTCCAGTCCATAGGGCAAACTAGACCTAATGTGGAAGGCTCACACATATCTATTGCAATGTCATTTTCTTTTGATAAAAATGAGTGGGCCATTATTTGGACATCACAATGCAAGACAGTGTCTCAAACAAAGATGTCCTCTCCTAAGCCCACATAGCCAGGCTGTCTACGCTGGCTTGGCCATGTCCACAGAATATAATATGGCAGCATCCCCAAGGATGTGTTCAATGGGGAGCTGGCTTTAGGTACCAGGCTCATTGGCAGACCAACTCTGTGTTACAAAGATGTCGGCAAACACGACATGAAGGGTGGCAGTATCAACCCCGCCTTGTGAGAATCCCTTGCAGACAACTGCAGTGGCTGGAGACAATCGGTCAAGTCGTGTATCCCCAGCAGTGACCAGAGGAGGAATGACAGCTGGAGGGAGCTCAGAGAGAAGAAGCACCATGGTGCATCTGTAACAGCAAAATCAGATGCCTTCATCTACCCCAGCTGCAACGAAACATGTCTCTCCCATATTGGTCTCTACAGCCACAGCAGGCGCTGTAACTGTTCAGTCATTTGACTTCACCCCCAGTGGTGCACCCTTCCATTGTCTCTCGAGACAGATGGATGTCAACAAGCCTATGAGATGACATTGCAGGGGGTTGACTTTATCCCCAATGGTGCACTCTTGCATTGTCTCCCAAGACAGTCAGATGCCAGCTAGCAATTATTTGGATAGGGGCCTTGGCACTGGAGGAGGGGTAGTTCTTCTCTCTCAAGTTGGGGACATAGGAAGCTGCCTTGTACCATGTCAGACCACTGGTCCATCTAGCTCAGTATTGTCTACACTGATTGGCAGTGGCTCTCCATGGTTTCAGAGAGAGGTCTCTCCCAGTCCAGAGGTTGCACCTAGGACCCTCTGCATGCTGAGCAGAGGCTCTACCACAGAGCCACAGCCCTTCCTCAGGTTGTTGCTGGCTACAGAAGTATCCATATCTTTTAGGGGGGGTTATGTTGGGCAAAGGGACGCAGGTGGCGCTGTGGGTTAAACCACAGAGCCTAGGACTTGCCAATCAGAAGGTCGGCAGTTCGAATCCCTGAGACAGGGTGAGCTCAGTCCTGATGCTCGGTCCCTGCTCCTGCCAACCTAGCAGTTCGAAAGCACCCCAAAAAGTACAAGTAGATGAATAGGTACCGCTCCAGCGGGAAGGTAAACGGCGTTTCCGTGCGCTGCTCTGGTTCGCCAGAAGTGGCTTAGTCATGCTGGCCACATGACCCGGAAGCTGTACGCCGGCTCCCTCGGCCAATAAAGCGAGATGAGCGCCACAACCCCAGAATCGGTCACGACTGGACCTAATAGTCAGGGGTCCCTTTACCTTTACCTTTTATGTTGGGCAAATGACAAAAGAAGAGGCTAGACCCCACTCTTCCCAATACTCTGGCAACTGTACCCCACTGGCTTTGCATGGGCCTAAAGATGGGCAATCTGCCCATTTCAGTTTCTCTTAGTTTCTCATTTGTCCAGCCTTCAACTAAGATCTCCATATTTTCACACCGGTTTGTGATTCCCAAACCCCAAATCCTCACTAAAATTCATCAGCATTTTAACATGAACTTCTCCCGCTAATACACCTGTTGTGCAATTTTGCCTGGTGAGCACAATTTTGCAAATCAGCTTTTCCTAAAACAATGCGCTTTATATGCTATTCTCGTTAATGTACACACTTTACACCAGTATCTGCTTGTTTTTTTATGCGTTACTCGACTGACGAATTGCACTGCAAAATTCAGACTAGTATGAATTTTGAAGAATAGTTGTGCTTCGCTTCTCATATTGTTTTGGAAAAGTGTGGATTGGGCAAGCTTAACCTTTAAATATGAATGGATCGATTTTTTTTCTCCTTCCCTACCTGGGGCACTGAAAATGTTCAGAGAGAGGGCATGGTTTCATGCCCCCCACCTCTTCCAGGTTAATGGGGCTCCCAGACTCTACTGCTATAGGGCTATGGACATCCTAGAGGGTGCTGCAAGAAAGTATCTGACAACATTTGGAAATCAGCAATGATTTGTTTATTTATTACATTTAGATCCTGATCTTCCTCCAGGGAGCTCAAGGAGACATACATAGTTCTTCTCCTCCCCATTTTATCCTCACAACAACCCTTTGAGGTTGGTTAGGCTAAGAGCAAGTGACTGGCTCCAGCTTCATGGCTGAGTGGGGATTTGAACCCTGGTCTCCCAGGTCCTAGCCAAACACTCTAACCACTACAGCCACATGGGCTCTGTGCTGATGCAAAGCTTTCTCCGTAGACATGAAGCTGAACGAATAATTGGTCTTGGAACAGACTCAGCTTCTCCAATAATCCGTCTATCACCACATCTTAAATTCTCAGGGTGGGGGAATCTATCATGATGAGTCTTTCCAGCCTGAGCATGCTGAGAAAGCATCCTTACGCTACAGCCTCCTGGATCTTTCTGCATCTACTTACATTTTCTGCAAGAATATCCCACAACTGCTACATTCTTGGGAAAGTTGCAAAAAAAAGGAACAGAAAAGAAGATATTCATCAAACTGAAGAGTACACTGATCTCTTCTTTTATACATGCACCCATTGGTAATCTTCCAAAGAGAGGGAGATTTTTTAGAAAGAATGTGATAAGGGCAGCTATTTGAGTGGGAGCATCGTGGTGACTATCATTCCATCAGCGGGAAGGGAGGGCATGGGCTGGAGACAGAGCCAGTGGAAAGAGGAAGAAGAAGAAGAAGAAGTAAATGAGATCCTGCTAATCAGTGCCTGACAAATCTCCGAACTGTAAGGAAGATAAGGGCGGAACAACATGCTGCAATGAAGATTTGGGTTGATTGTGGAACTCAACACGGCATCAACTGCAGGGGCGGCCCAAGGCATTTCGGCGCCTGAGGCAAAACACGCCACTGCTGCTGCTTCAAGAAGGCCTTGTGGTGTCTCCCCACCAGCTGGGGAGGGGTCATTTCCAGACCCCACCCCCAACCTAGCGTTGCAGTGGGGCTTTGCACTGGTTTATCCTGAAGGGAGAAGCTGATGCAAAGCCCTGCCATCTCACAGGGGGTGGGATTCTGCCCCCGAACCGGCCTGCTTTCAAAGCTGGGAGGTCAAATGCCTCCCCTGCAGCTGACTCGGAAAGAAAGTAGGAGCGGGAGGCATTCACAGAGCTTTGTCACCAAACCCTCTCTAACCCTAGAGGCGGGGGAGAACAGAGGCAAATCTGGGTGGCAGAACAGGGCTGCCGCCCCTTGGGAGGTGCCACCTGAGGCAGCTGCCTCACCTTGCCTCATGGGCGGGCTGGCATCATTAACCCTTACTTGACGTGTGTGCGTTTTTAGGATAAATAGCAGCCTGGGAGCGGTAAGCAAACTGGATCAAGACCATGGCATGAGGCTAGAGAGACTTTAACCCTTTGCCACTGCTTTGATCTGAACTGGGTCCCCCTCACATATGCTGGAGGAAGGCCTCCATTAGTTCCAGTGGAATCAAGAGCCAATTAGGATTGGGACTCTGGAAAAAGGAAAGAGTCAAAGCTTTCCTCCCCACATGCTCTAGTCAGGATCCAGTTTTCTCCCAATGCTGTTTAGGAACATGGGAGAAAGCCTCATAACTGAGACAGACCATTGGTCAATTGAGCTTGGCATTGCTGGGAAAGGGTTAAACCCCCTCCAGTCATACCACAGTCCTGATGCAATCCAACCTTTGCCACACAACATGGAACACAATCATGAAAGGGCTAATGACATGTGTAATGTCACAAGTAGTTTGGACCCGAGCTGGGCCGGCCATACTATTGGGGGGGGGGGAGTGAGCAGCTGCCTCAGGCAGAGGGTACCAGGGCAGAGACAGTCCAGTCACTGGGAATAGCGTGACATCCAGCAGAAAGAGAGAAAGAAGAATAAAAGCGCAGGGTGGGGGCGGGGAGAGAAGGAAGCTACTCAAAGAGATTATGAGCAGCAGCTAATGGGAGAGACTGGCGATGTAAAATAGGTAAGGATTGTGAAACCCCCCAAAAAGGTGGCTCCATGAGAGGTGAGAAGTGCTGGAGCCATCAGCTAATGTTTGGGTTGGTTGGTTGCTTGGTTTTAAAACCTTTTTGTCCTCCTCTTCACAGTCAAAAGGGCATCTAGGGTGGCTTACATATAATTGTCTTTTTTTTAAAGACAAGAGAGTCCCTACTCCCAGGCTTGCAGTCTAAAAGACATAAAAGGAAATGGGGGTGGGGAGGAAAGAGAAGAGAAAAGCAAGCTCAAACACCTGTTGCGAGCTGCTTGTGCATGCCGGCTTTGCACAGCGTCACATGATGTCATCCTAATCCAATTGCCATCTCATATTCTCTCCTCCCCACCTTGGCCACCCTGCTTGAATCTAGATTTACCGTTTCTGGTATCACTGGATTTCCCACAAAACAATAAATCCAGATTAAACGGGGGGGGGGAATAATACTGTATAAAACTTGCAAGCTTGAACACCAAATCGACAATAAATTGCCATACAGATTGCCAATAAATTGTCCTTCAGCAGAATCCATGGAACCGTCTTGGTTCTCCTCACTTCTCATCTCTGCAGTCTGATGGAACAGGTGCACAGCAGAGGTCTTGGCATCCTTGGACTACAAAAAAATTCTAACTGTCGTATTATGAATAAAGCATGACTTTTTCTTGAGGGGTAAACTCCAGTTCCCAGGAGTCCCAGGAAGAAGCAAAGTGTTTTGAATGTATGGTGTGTACATGGCCACAGACCTTGCATTAGCTGGTAGTGGAATGGGATGGGTAGCTCACTGGATCTCTTCCAGAATCTGTGACCTACAAACAAAATAGAAGTCCTACGTTAAGCACAGTGTCGGCTCACTCTAACCTGGAGATAAAGCTCTGAGAATCTTTGAGTGTCTAGGAGCTCCCAGCCTGTCACTGTTTTCCACTGGGATTCTGTCTCATACTGACAAGTTCGGGTTGCACAACCGAAGCTGATTTGGAATCCTTATTGTGCAACAAGCCCGTTTCTCCAAATGATTGGACGCTTTTGTGATAAGAAAAGTGCGGGGAAAACACGCTGAAAAGTGTGGGCTAGCCTGATGCAATGCTATCTAACCTCCCTGGAAAAATATCACGACAAATGCTCAGTAAACAAATTGTCCAGAGGTGGCCTCTCTCTCTCTCTCTCTCTCTCTCTCTCTCTCTCTCTCTCTCTCGTGTGTGTGTGTGTGTGTGTGCCTTGAAGCTGCTCTAAATCAAAGGTAAGGTAAAGGACCCCTGGACAGTTAAGTCCAGTCAAAGGTGACTATTGATGCGGGTGGTGCTGTGGTGTAAACCACTGAGCCTCTTGGGCTTGCCAATCAGAAGGTCAGCGTTCGAATCCCCGCGATGGGGTGAGCTCCCTTTGCTCTGTCCCAGCTCCTGCCAACCTAGCAGTTCGAAAGCACGCCAGTGCAAGTAGATAAATAGGTACCGCTGCAGCGGGAAGGTAAATGGTGTTTCCATGCGCTCTGGCTTCCGTCACGGTGTTTCCGTTGCACCAGAAGTGGTTTAGTCATGCCCAGAAAGCTGTCTGTGGACAAACGCCAGCTCTCTTGGCCTGAAAGTGAGATGAGCGCTGCAACCCCATAGTTGCCTTTGACTGAACTTAACCATTCAGGGGTCCTTTACCTTTACCTTTTTACCTGCTCTAAATCAATGTCCCATCATTTCTTTGAACACTGTTTGATTGAGGGGAATTACATTTTCTCCAGCTGAGAGATCCAGGAACTCCTGGCTTGTCCAGGCACTCTGTCACGTGTACAAGAACACAAAGGGACCGAAGGGATGACTGGTCTCTTGTTTTGTTTTGAAAGAGGTGTTGTCAGGGATGCTGCTGGGCGTACACAAGGGTGTGTTGGTGCTGGGGCTTTCTGGGCGAGTCTGTCCTCAGGCTGAATACAGCTCCCTAATGCCCTAGCACTAACCAGATCATCAAGATAGGGCGAACTGGAATTTTACTGCCTTACCACAGATTCTTACTATTCACTATTATTCCAGAGACAACCATCCATTTCAGCGTCACAGAGAGGGCTCCCTTTCCCCCTCTTGCCGAATGCTTGGAAAATAAATCATTTTAAAATATAACGTTTGCCTAAGGTTACCAGACGTCCCCGTTTCCCGGGGACAGTCCCCAGATTTATAAATCATTCGCCCGACAAAATCCATCTATTTAGTAGGAAGTTGAAAAGTGTCCCTGGATTCATTGAAAAAAATCTGGTTTGCCGCCTCTTCTTAGACCAGAGGCTTTGTGCCTTTAAGCAGCAACAACAATAACAACAACAGCAATGGCAAAGGCTGCATTTGTTGAGTGACACCTGTAATGTGGCTTCAGGAACATACAGCGCCTCTGTCAATCAAGTGGGAGGTGCAAAGTGGATTAAAATTGATGCCCAATCTCATGCAGGGGCCATAGCTCTGTGCCTACAGGAGTTCTCAAGTTTGATCCCTGGCATTTTCAGCTAGAACTAGGAAGTTCCCCTGTTTAAAATACGGATACAGTGGTACCTCGGGTTACAGAAGCTTCAGGTTACACGTTTTCAGGTTGCACACCGCCCTGAACCCGGAAGTGCCGGAATGGGTTACTTCTAGGTTTTGGCGCTTGCGCATGCTCAGAAACACTAAATCTCACTTTGTGTACGCACAGAAGCGCCAAATCGCGACCTGCGCATGCGCAGATGCAGCGCTGGGGTTTGCGAACGTGCCTCCCGCAAGGATCACGTTCTCAACCTGTTCCACTGTATAAGGAAACAGGGAAACAGGAGTAGAAATTGCAGGTGTCCACTTATCTATCCCCTGTTTGGAACGGAAATTAATCCAGGAAATGCAATCAGTATTACCTGGTGTTGTTGCTTTAATCTGCAGAGAAGACATAATTGATTCTTTCCCCCGTCCCCATTTGTCCTGTGTTTCTTTTGCACTGAAATGAATGGGGTGGAGCAATGGATAGTGAGACATTGGCAGAAGGCGAATTGCAGCAGAACAGAAGCAGTGGCTATGTGTGCTCAATACCTTTAAAGCACATTTGAAGCTCGTTCTTTCCCTCAAAGAATTCTGGGTGCTGTAGTTTGCTAAGGGATGCTCAGAGAGTTGAAATAAAGTGCTCAGAATTCTGTGAGGGAAAGGAAGTGCTTCAAATGTGATTTAAAGGTATAGTACATACATAGCCAGAGTACTGTGTGTCTCATTTACAGCGTGGAACAGAAAACAATGGCTTCTTGCATCTCCAGACTGAAACTCTG